CCCCCGCATAGCATATACACACACCGTCGATCGATAGTCGCAGCCACGCTCGGTAAGGGAACGATAATCGCGCGTGTAGCGCTTCCTGGGATTCCTGGGAATCTCGCGCGGTAAACAGGACGAGATTATCGGCGATCGATCGGTACCGATTCGCCTCCATGAATGGTAGGCAGAGTAAGTTGAGCGAGACCATGGCTACAGAGAGGAATCAAGAGGGGTGGTAGACAAGAGTGGTAGCGGGTGTGTTCGTTCCTCGAGTGCTCCACGAAGTCGTGGCATTTCTATGCTGTGGCGCCTATTCGTGACGGACGAGCAGCCGTGGATCGAGTAATAGCGTGAGAGAGGAAGGAGAGAGATTCGCGTAGAGAGAAAAACAGAAAGAGAAAACTGAGTGGAGGGAGAAAAGAGAGAGAGAGAGAGAATACGACGGCGAGGACGTACGTGAATCGCGCACAGAGGGCGCGAGCGCGAACGCGCGCCCACATTTTCACGAGCATTGATCGCGAGAGGTGGGGTAGTATGGCTGAAGACTACGGATAAGGTTGCTCAAGTGGTGTAGAGGGGTGCGGGTGCTCCGCGGTGGTGTCCGGCGGCAAAGAGGGTTGTCTCCAGGGTGGGGGCAAGTGTGAGAGCTCGCTGACAGGCAAAGAGGCGTAAAGAAGCTTCGTTGTAACGCCGCGAACCGAACGAGCCATGTCCGCTCCACGTTCTTTTCAGAATATAGTGGAACGTTCGATCGAGAGGGAGAGAAGGGGAGGGAAAAACTTCATTGCTCAGGGGATGAACCCCTCAAGCGCACAAAGATAACATGAAATTATAGATTATAGTTAAAATGAGCAGTGATCTTTATTCAATTTTCTTATAGAGGTAACAATATTAAAGATGATGATAATGATAAAAGTGATGGTAACGGAGATGATGATGCCTAGATAGACAGAAATGTTGAGCAATATGCAAACATTTAATGTATACTTATGATACTATTATAGATAACACAAGATGCTCAAAATATGCTTGTGTTTCGAGAAACACTCATTTATTTCGTCTTAATTCTTTGCCATAAATACTTACTTTTTATTACTGAAGTAATCTCTGATTAATTGCGACTTCTTTACGGCAAAATAAGCAACAATTTTCATGGCATCAAATTACTTTTTTTATGTACTGACTAATCACTAAGCAGATGATATATCAAAATATGTTCATCTGTGTGATGATGATAGTTAATAATAATAATAACAAGTGAACATACACACATGATGAAGGTAAAGAGATATGGACATGCCAAAAAGAAGCATGTATGAAATAGAAGTCACTATATTTAAGAGTACATCTCAGGACATTAATACATAAAGTTACTTAAAACATTAAACCTGCATATTATTTATTTATTTATTAAACGGGAATACTCTTTAATAATTATGACACGAAAGTGTTTACAGAAAAGAGAAGAAGAAACATTCTTATAAAGACCAAAAAGAAAAATACCGGTTAATAAATAATTAATTTTAATTAATTTTAATTAATTAAATGCAGTTTACGTGTAGGTAATTTTGATAAATAAGTTTGAAGGCATGAATGAACAAAGATAGGTTAACAATTTAATTAATATTGTAAAAAACAATTTGTTAACATCAAGTTAGAAGTTAAAATTATTTGTTTATATCTCAAAAAGAGAATTTGTAGTAGTGAATTCTTGAAGGACGAAGGCAAATCACCAAAAAAATTTAATATTGAAGAATAATTAATTGGCTAAAATACATAGTCTGTTGATAAAAATAAAATTACTATATGTTGTTTTATAAGCTACAACATGAAAAATTGGAATGTATCTAAGTATTTTTGATGGGACATTAAAACTAAATGATTCCAATATATTACAATAATCAACAAAACTACATAGAATTTCAAGTACAAAAAGCAAATTTAACACAATTCTTCTCTTTTCAAAGATGAAGAGATTAAGATTACATAAAATCTGTTGACAATTGTGACAATAGAGTGGAATTAATGTAGCCAATTTATATGTCGCCATTTTCAAGAATCGGTGTTGAACACGTCCAATTTATTTAATAAGATTTGTTTAATTTGATAAGGAGATCATTAATGGGACAATATTCCAAGTTTAGAGTGGAACAATGTACGATACAAAAGTTTAACCTATTAACATTCTTAAAATGCTTGGAAGCTGGTTTAATAAAACCAAGCAATCTAAAAACAGACGCAAAAATACTCCAAATATGATCGTTAAAAAATAAATACGAACAGAAAATTATACCTAAGTCTGAAATAGATATAGCTTCGTTCTAATAATGATTGATAAAATTCAGTTTGAGACTTCTCCAACTTGCGCTCCTTATATTTTAGGAGAAAGACAATTTTAGTAACATAACTTCTTAGAGATCTTTAAGAGATCGCTTGAAAAATTCGATTCTGTTTTGGTATTACATTGGTGATCCATCTTAGTAGTGCAAGTTGGCCATAGGTATACTTAATTGTTTTAGTATTACGCAAAAAGAGAGAAAGAGAAACGACCGAATGTATCAAGTGCGATGCACATTCGATCTCAGACTTGGAACGATTCGAGACTTTTGTAGGAAATAAACTATTTATGAAGATGTGCAGATATTTCTAGCGGTGCAATACAGGTAGATTTAGTAGTTATTTTCTCTCTCTTTCTCTCTCTCTCTCTGGTAAAGGTTACTCTACTCAAGTAAAATGTTCGGCGAACCGGATAGTAGACTCCACTCCTTCTCGCCTAGAACGAATCTGCCTCTGCAGCCTCTGCGTACCCGAGATGCGAACGATGCTTCTCTCATCCGGCAGCTTCAGCCGCCTTGAAAACTTCTTTTATATAGTCACGCCAGAATTAAAAAAGTTAGTCTTACGTTTGGTCGCTCCATTATCGTCACGTTGATTTTAATCTCTCACGGCGTGAGTTTCTTCACGAATAGAAATCTCTCTACGTAAAGTGATCTTTATAGATAAAAAAAATTCTAATGTTCCAATTTGCATTATGTACGTGTGCGTGATCGAAAGCCTGATATTTGTCGGATAAATGTTGTACACGGTTGCGCCGTCATATTGATAGTACTAATTAAAAAATACGTCCACACCATAGATAATGTTTTATTGGGTCATCTTTTATTTCCAAAAAAAAAAACGCCCGAGGTTCTTCCACTTATTAATAGCTAGACATGATGCAAGAAAAAATTTCATGAAAAAAATACTTTAGCTGTAGTTAGTGTAGTAGTCGGCCTCAAAGACCTCACGTTATTTTTAGTAAACCGGAAGTGTGATACATTCTCGGACATACATATGTCGCGGTAAGAGGTGCTACAAATGCCTTAATATTCCGTGAATGAAACCTTCTGTGACAAACGAGGTGACGTTGTCGGGTGTCGTCTAATCATTAAAATTAATTAACAAATACTAATGGATATTCTAGGATTGTTAAAAAACTAGGATTATTTTAAAAAATGTAACTCTAGGATTACTAAAAAAAATGTAATTCCTATATAAAACCATAACTCTACAAAGGATTAATGTTTGCTCGTGCTCGAATAGCGGATCTCTGTAACGCCTACTTGATGTTTTTAAGAAAAAACAATATAATTTAATTCGATTATATAGAACGCATCTGTTATTCTGTATCTGTCGCTCTCATTTCCTCCGACAACCTGTTAAGAATACACAGACGAGATCAATATCGCTAGACAACGTTACAAAGAGAGATTAATATTTCTTTGTCCTTTACGTTCATTTATAGAAATTTTAAACAACTTTGAGCTCAGCGGGGGTTCCCTTTTCCGCGATAATGACGAATATTTCTTTTCGATTTATAAACTACCCACTCGAAGAGTTAAAGTTAACTCGACATTCGTGGCACGACGGTCGATCGTCGATGGTGCTGGCCGATGGCGTCTTCTTAGCGAAGCGGATGCATAGTACTATTTTAGGATGCACCTGCGCGTCGATGCGACAAATTTCCCACATCTTGCCTGATTAGCGTCGCAAGAGCGCGACGAGACTCGATCATTATTGCTTTCGCGGAAAATATGCGAAAATATACGTCACTCTGGATCTCTCAATTTTGACTCGTGCGGTATAAAAACACTTCGAACTGTTGAACCTTATTAGAGAGCCCATTAAATACCCTTAAAAATAAAAAGAGGTGCGTTATTCTCGAAAAAGTACATTTGTTCTCGAATGAATAAAAAAAATACGCAATTCTTCAGCCGACGGGTATTTAAGGGATGCTAAGGGAAGAAACTTTATCTTAGCTCTCACAGAAATTTCATAAACCAAATGCCAAATAAATGTTTTTGCACATACAATCGAGGATAGAAGTATCGAGTGGCGCTAAAAATCTTGCTAAACCACATATGATTCTCGACGTTTTTGTCGCGAAAAGGTCAGAAGATCTTGTTATAAATTACGACACGAGTAGATGATATTGATTTGTGTTGTGGTGCATCGCACCGCTTAGTCGGTAATGTTATTCTGTACGGTACGATCAGTCTCGTGTGCGTTTCTGTGCGTTTCACAAGTTCATTTTCTTCTCTGTTGCAGTATGTAACTTCGTGGTGCACGACCGCTGTCTCAAGGCCGTCGTCTCTCCCTGCTCCAGTATCGCGGCAAGCCTGATCAAGGTAAGGTACACACTGCGTCATGTATGTCTTATCATTACAACTGGAATTACTTATGCGAGATTTTCGGCCTTATCCGTATGCATGTAAGGCTGAAAATCGCGTGCCTCGCGATCTAAAGAACGGTAAGGTGTGCGTAACGCTGAATGGCAAAAAATAATGCTGCATCAACATCACCAATTATTCAATTGAAATAAGTGTTCTTGACTTAATAGCAGTATTACTAAAACAAATATGCCATAATATTGTTTGATAACTCCAGTATTTCCCCACAATGATACAGTAGTTTCAGAAAAATTTCATTGAGTCAAGCGTATACTAACTTTCTTTGTCTAAGTAATTATTTGTTTTGACTACATTAAATAATATCTTAACAGTAGTAAATAATAACAGAAGTAAATAATATCTTAACATATAATTCAATAAATACAGTCTGTTTAAACAAATTTGTTGTCAATTATATCGCGAAATAAGTGACACAATTCAACATTATAGTCAATTTTGTTAAGATTTGGTACGAATGCACTATTTTGTTGATTTAATTCGTTATTTATTTCATCTATAATATTGCTGTAAACATTATTTTTTTAATATATTTGAGCCATATGCATTTATATACTTTTCAGGGAATTAGACGTGCTATTGTTCTAATTATACATCTGCTTGATTTGATCAAAATACTTTTAACTTAAAAAATATATTTATGGGTTATTAATATTTAATTTAATATTTCTTAAGTATATAATTACTTCGACTATATACGAACGCGTAATTTAACTACATATATACTGATGGCTTACACGAGACTTAAATAGAATAATAACCATGAACCATAAAGATATCGTCATAGCTCGTTGGCATCACTAGTTTTCTATTCGATTATTGAGGTTAAACAACGTCGACCGTGGTAAGTAATAGGGATGGGTGCCGAAGTTAAAACTACACGAAAAAAGAATGTATATATAGGATGTTTCAGAAATAGATGGCCGAGAGTACTAAAGAATATAATATACTAAAGAAGAACGCTTTTGACAACTAAGAAAAAAATTGGTTTATTTCAATTAAATATTGACCACGAGTTATTATAATAATATACAAAGTATCCCAGACTCTCCTTCTCACATTAAGTGGGAAGAACGGGTTGAGGTGAACATAAAAGTCCTATACCGTTTTGCGACATTCGCAATAATAGTCGAGATATTAATTAAAAAAGATTGGTAAATGATCACGCACGATATGGTAGATGAGCTGCAGTGGCCGTTTGGCTGCAACGCCGTTTGCCGTTGTATACTTATACATTAAGTCAAACTGAAGAAAAAAATCCTTTACCATTTTGTAAACTTAGTTAACCACATAGATTTTTAGATAATTAAAGAAAATTTGTGCATTATAGTACACAATCATATATGTAACAATTTTCTTTAATATCTAAAAATCTATGTGGTCATTTGCAAAATGATAGAGGACTTTTTTGTTCATTTTGACTTAATGTATAAATATACAATGGCAGACGACGCCATTGCAGCTCATCTACCATATCGCGCGTAATCATTCACCAATCTTTTTTAATTAATATCTCGACTATTATTGCGAATATCGCAAAACGATAGGACTTTTATGTTCACCCCAACCCGTTTTATATTCCCACTTAATGTGAGAAGGAGTGTCTGGGACACCCTGTATATACGAGTTACCATATAATTATAAGCTATTATATAAAACGTTAGAAATAAAATGGTTCAATTTAATTAAATATCGATAGGCTGCCGTAAATATACGCGGTTAATTCGACTTTAGTTGTCATTAACTATAATTTTTAATATTTTTGTATTGCAAAAACAATATATTATCTTTAAACTAATAATATAATGTTATATTTAAAAAAACTAAACTATACGAAGAAACGTTCGTATAATCCAGCTTACTTCTAACATAATATTTTATATTGAGATACAATAACAATATATTATTCTTACAATAAAATTGGAAGCAATGACAAATAAAGTTCAATTAACTGCTTATGTTTATGAACGTCGACGTTTAATTAAATCAAATTATTTTTTCTTTATTTAACAATATTTTATATTGAGATACAATAACAATATATTATTCTTACAATAAAATTGAAAGCAATGACAAATAAAGTTCAATTAACTGCTTATGTTTATAACAGCGTCGATGTTTAATTGAATCAAATTATTTTTTCTTCATTTAACAATATTTTTTTCCCATGCGTAATAATTTGTCTCCAACTAAACAAGTTGCAGTTTTTATAAGATCTCAAATTTATTGAAGGATTGCAGCATTACTCGCGTTAAAATCACTTCTTGTATCATTGTGGCATCTGAGAAGTTTCCGTATTAACAACAGTTACGGCAATTTATTATTTCATCCAATACAAACTGCAAACTCCTGAAAGTGTGTGTGCGAATGTATATATGTATGTATTGTACCATATAAAAATAATATCTTTATATTGTTGCAGAACCCGGTGGCACACTGCTGGTCCGAACAAGTGCATCGTAAAAAGAAATTCTGCAACGTCTGTCGAAAACGATTGGATGATAATCTATCCGTACATTGCGAAAGTAAGACGAAGTTTATATATAATAAATATAAAGTTTATATATAACTTGGAGTCATTTTCTCTAATTTAAAAGCTTCACGGTTCTACTGTATTTTTGAACGTAATGTCATGAAGCTTTTCTGTAAAACCTATCGCTCATAATATCAGTTGTGTGTGTGAAACGGAAAACTGTTTGTTTGCCGTAGTATGCGAGTACTTCGTGCACATAGAATGCCAAGACTTCGCAGTGGCAGACTGCAAAGAGAATGCTACATACTTACCTGGGAAGGATCTGGCAGCGGTGAGACACATTCACCATTGGCGGGAAGGCAACCTTCCGAGCAGCTCCAAATGTGCTGCGTGCAAGAAGGGTTGTTGTTCTGCCGAGTGCCTCTCCGGATTTCGTTGCGAGTGGTGCGGCATGACGGTAAAAGATATCTCCAATCTTATTTTAAAAAAGCATGTTAAGTCGAATTCGAATGTATCGAAGCCCTCTCAAAAATATCCAAATTTATTGTTGCGCCTCTTTTTCGCGATGCCGAGTAGATTTCTCGGCATGCGCTGTATAGTTTACGTTGTCGCAGTATAGTGTACAATTATCATTACAAGGATTGTGCATTTTAACAGCTCGATGTTACATAAGATGTTAAGATTTATTGTGATAATGAGACGGAAGAGTGTTAAAACCAAGAAAATAACATAAACAATAATTAATATATATTTTATTTATTTGGGATAATTTGGATTTGTCTCAAGCACAATATGGTTGTGCTAAATTTGTATTTCAACAGTTCAGACATTAAAGTTTAAAGAGAGATAGATAGGAATTAAAAAAAGTATACAGCGACACGGAAGGAAATGAAATAATATGGAGAAATGAGAAGAAGGATAGAAAAGAAAGGAGACAAGGAAGAGAAAACAGAGAAAAAGTATAAAGATAAAATTTAAAGTAAAAGAGAATGTAAGGAGAACATCAGAGAATAAACGTGATCGAAAGTGAACGAAAAATATTAGAAAACTATACTAATGAGTAAGCATGATAATGGATAAGAAAAAATGACAAAAAACTAAAAGTGAGTTAATAAAAGAAAATAAACAAGATTGAGAAATAATAAAGGAAAATGAGAGATAATTAAGAAGAATAAAAGAGAAATGAAAAACAGGTACGATGACAAAAATTAATAAAAGAGAAGGGGAGAAATTAAGAGAAGTAGGAGAGAATATAAAAGAGAGAACATGTGCAAATGAAAGAAATAAAAAATGTATAAGACAGGTTGATAGAGAATGAGAGACTAAAGAGAAAAGAAAAATAATAAGGATGTATCAGAGAGAATAAAAAAAAAGGAAGAAGCAATGTGAGCCAATTAGAACCAGTAACTAAAAGAGAATGTAATAAGAGAGATTAAGAAAGAACAAATAAAATAGAATAATAAAAAATGAAATAAATTTTATTAAAATAGGATCAAGTGGGGAGAATAAATATAAAAATGAGAATCAGAAGAGAGGACAATAGCGAATTCGAGAGGCTAAAATAGAATGAGAAAAATGAAGAGAAATTAAGAGAGAATTAGAAAAAATGAAAGACAATAAGATAAAAATGAGGTTGATAAAACGGGATGAGAAAGACCAAAAGAATAATTGAAAATAGAGGAGAGAGGAGGGATGATGGAAAAAATAAAAGAGAATGAGAAGGATTAGGATGGGAACATTATAAAGAGAGAAAATTATAAAGTGTAAGAGAAAATAAAAACTAAAATAAGAAAATAAGAAAATAAAATAGAATAATGAAAAGCCAAAAAAATTGAAAAGAAATAAGGAAAACTGTAACTGTAAAGATTAAGAACGAATGCGGGGAGATGTGAGAGATTAACAAAATTATAAGAAAATAAGAGAAAATAGAAGATAAAGATGCAAAACATGAAAGGATGAAAAGGGTAAATGTAAGCTAATAAGAGAATAAAAAGAGGGATGAAAGAGAGAAAGAGAGAAAATAAGAAAGAATGTGAGAAGAATAAAAAAGACTAAAGAAAAATGAGAGTAGATAGGAAAAGAAGAAAGTGGTTGCTAAAGAGAGGAATAGTAAAGGATAATAGAGAACTGAGAGCATAAAGAATAAAGAGACTGGAAATGAATGGTAGAAAATAAGAAAGCTAAAAAGACATTGAGACAACATGAGAAAAAGTAAAAAAGAATAAAGAATATTAAGAGAAAATAAAACAATAAATAAAAGGAGAAAGGGAGGAAAGAGAGCTGAGAAGAGAGAATAGAAAAGATTGAGAGATAATGACAACAAAGCTAAGTAGCGCACGCGTAATATGTACTTGTGTGATGTCTTAGACCTATTAAATTGATTTTACCCTTATTTCCACGGCTAGCCTTTTGTTCACGGAATCAAATATAAACTAAAATATTAACATATTATTAATTTAACATTTAGAACTATATTACATTAGCATGACTTGTAGACTCTTTCTTGTTGAAATAGTTAATTTAACTATAAATATGGTTTGTGGTCTCTCTTAGCTGCACGCGTATTGTTACAAGAATATTCCCCAAGAATGCACCTTCGGTAACTTGGAGCCAATTTACCTGCCACCACACGCAGTTAGTATTCCGCGCACCGAAGTTCCCATGGAAGCCATCATCGGTGTACAAGTGCGTCGTAAAGAAGTGCTGGCGCGTGAGTATTCTTGCCGTAAGTGTCTGCCGTGTAATTACAATGTGCGTGTTAACAGGTAATTAGAATAATGGAATGAGGAATTGCGCTTCATCACATATCGCGAAGCACTCTGATATTTTATTAATCAACACGAATATATACTTTGATTACTGAAGCAGCTCTCACTTACAAGAAAATAGCTTGAGTTAATTGACAGGCTAAAGCGAGAGAGATCTCTTCCCATTCTAATAAAACGATAGACACGTGATAACATAGTCATGTAAACATATCAATGTTACGCGAATTAAATTGTTATTAAAATCTCCGTTAAAATGCGTGAAACAAACACTCGCGTTGACAATGCGCGTGATTACTTGCTACAAGTATATATATGGGTAATAATGAATCTGTGTACGTTTCATGTTCATACGCGCGTAATGTATATATGCATTATTATCGGATTAGAAGATGATCCTCTGTGTCTTTACAAGTAATATCGATATATCAGACTCAGATAACAAATAATGGCAAAACCGTTATATTGAGAGCTTTTCTAGCTGCTTCATTCATTTGAATATTTCATTAATTTTTTTACTTACGCATAGTAAATCCTATGATTAATTGGCGCTTTATAATATTTTTTAAAAATCAGATTTCCTTTCTTTTTTTTTAAGCACATTAGTATATCACTCATTGATACATATTGTTTTCACACCAGATATTAAATGTATAAGTTATACACGTATGAAACATTTTGTACCTATTTTTACTATGCATAGCACATGTACACGTACGCATATATATGCACCGATAATTGATAGTAACAAATGTACATTGTATTAAAGTTGAAAAGAATGTGTAATATATGAAACATTTTTCTCTTTCACATATCAGTAGAAGATACATATTTATAAAGATATAAACTATTTCTAAATCATCAATTTTTTGCATGATATTATTTTGACATTCATTTTTACGCGTGTATAAATACCGTCAATTTGTAAACGTATACATGTTCTTCCTTCTTTTCAGAGCATGCAACGTTGACTTTCTTCAATATCAAACGAGAAAATTCCTATCCTAAGGGATTATTACCTCAAACTTTCATCGTTTTATTTTATCATAAAATGAAAGTGTATATTTTTTTTTACATTGTTTATTATTAATTGCAAAAATTTGAAACAATTGTCGAATATTTTACACAAACACGGATACTTTCTATTCGCAATTTCTTATACTCTCAGCCTTTTCCATACATGTACATGTGTATTATTCGTATAGGGATTAATAGTTTATTTTCACGTTTCGTGTTATATAAAATATGACCGCACTAGTTATAGGATCCATAATATTCTCGCAGTTATTCATTTATAATTCAATTTATCCATCAAATATATCATGTGAGAGAACATATTGTACCTTTCATTTCAGTAAAACAACTAAAAATGTATAAATTTATCTGTTATATGGTTTTGTGATTAAAAATTATAACAAAATTGGTATCTATAATTGTACAAGCTTCCATAAGCAACGTTAAAGAGCTACATCTGTTATTTCAATTTTACATTTTGTTCACAATTACAAATCCCCAATGGCTTTTGTGGCTGGTCGCTCCTCTTGCGATTAATCGCTACTCTCAATGTGCTTTTTTTATAGGCATAACGTATTTTCATAGATACATCTGTTTTATGGAGCTTTATAATTAGATTAATATTGGAACTTGCAAAATAATATATTTCGCGCAGTGCAAAAAAGAGCTATAAACATATATAGCTATAAACATATATATAGTATAGTTTACGAAACTTACGGAATCTTCTCTCTCTTGGAAGCCGTCATTTTTTTACATCATAGAAAATATAAACGTTTCTATCTGACGTGATAAAATAAATTGGACAATGGACACAAGATAATAATGAAGTGTTACAAAAAGAAAATGGAATCTTTATAGAGTTTATACACAAGTTGCGGTGACCGTTAAACTATATTCGGCTCGTTAAAATATTCGGTCTTTGCTTCTATGTGAAGATAACATCGGAGAGCAATTCGATTTCGCTGAGAGTGAACAAATTGGGGCTGCAGGCCGCCTAGCCGAAGCTTTGAGGCGCCTTTCGCTAGTTTTGCCACGTAGCTGCCATGGAAATTGTCATGCTTCCCCTCCCTATGTTCGAGGTATCTAGAATATTATCATCGTCATTCATCTGTGTGAACGTATTCAATTCTAAGATGTACACTACATACATACACATATATACATACATATATACATACATACAAACATACCATACAAAACTGAGAGTGAATTGGAATATGCCGTAGTGATCATTGCTGTTGTTATCTCTACGTCTAATTACTTAATACATGCATCTGTTACTGAGAGAGCTACATTAAGAGACGCAGTCGTGTTTATATTTATGCATTTTTTTTTTTTCTTGATTTTACGTAACAGCAATGCGAATATATTCAGCTGGCTTCTATCATATTTTCGACACTAATATCGAGCGACATTCTACATTCTAGTTCTGGCGACTCCGACAGCAATACGATGCTATTTACGTGAACTCTATTCAGGAAGTAGGATAAAGATGACATGTTTGTCGAAAGTACAGTAGATATTATCACCTATCGCCTATATATCGGATATGTAATTAATTGTCACACATGCGACATGCGTTTTTATATAAATATCATGGTGCACCAATCTTTTTGTTTATGAATGTTATTTTGTTATACTGTTTACGTTTTAGCATGTATGTATGTCTCGCTTCGGTGCATGCACTGTCATTCAGCCCACTGGATGCTATGAGATTCCATGATGCTTATCACTCTACTATGCAGTGAAATGAAGTTCAAGAATACTACTGACTAATTCTTCCTATCGTGTGTGTGTTCTACAAACCCATCGTAAATAATCGATGGTAAGAGATGTGATTTATTCTTGAATGATAAACAGATTCGTTACGACGCTTTTCTTGTTTAAAAATTATTCTCGAATAAATTCATTACTTTCTCTTTAAAGTAACTTACGAATCTGCTTCTTCTTGATACTCGCACACGTAAATTTGCAATTTATGCGTTTTTGTGTTGAAAAAAACATGAACCGATAATATAATAAAATGCGATGGATAAAAATAGTCATGAATAGTTGATAACTTATATACGGAATAAATAATTACAGAACAAAAACGCATTATAAGAGTTGTGTCAAATTCTATATTATTTATAATATTAGAAACACTTCCCGATAGATACCATTAATGTTATCTGAGTAATGGTTGCAAAAAGGAAAAAAAAATTTTTTTCACGTTAAAGATACGCTCGACGGAAGAAGATGTATTATATTTAGATTTTACGGCTTACTTTCTCCGTCGTATCTTAAGTTAATTGTGTTCTAATATACGAAATGATCTTCCTCTGTTTACAGCGCGGAGCATATCAGAAGAGTTCAGTAGCGACGCGAGGTATCGTGATAATGGAGAACCGGCTCAATGCACGCACGGCCGTGATCCGCGTTCTCCTAAGGAGAAAGACGACAAAGAAAGAGGTGACGAAGGTATTTCAATACAACTCCCGATTAACAGATGCGGAATTTTCTCCCTTTTTAATTCGAAAATATTTCTCTACTGTTATACAGAGATGATTAAAGTATACGATGGTAATAACTCTCTGAGGCGACGGATATTTCGGGTGATCTCGGTGCCTAGGCAGGCTACAACAGAGCAGGTTCTCACGTCGGCATTACGCGCCTTTCACATCACGAAAGATCCTAGTACGTGAAGTATCTTACGATGTTAACATAAAAATTCCGTTTGATAAATTTGTCGACTGACCTAATGGATTTCTGTCTTTCCGTTCGGCGAAATTTAGGCAATTTTTACTTAACCGACCTATACGCCACAGAAGAAACTGAGTTGTGCGATCCGACGCCCGTTTTAAATTTAAATCGCAAAGAAGGCAAACGTCCGGCTGTGTTCTTACGATTTAAGTAAGTTTACGTTATATTCCCTAAATGTGGTGATTTATCAGAGTTGCTACAGACTTGGAAAACCAGGAAAATCGAGAAAAATCACGGAATTAAAATTTATCATGAAAAACCGGAATATGTCACGAAAAAATATAAAATAACCTGGAATTCTGACCTTTCCTTACAATTCTTTGAAATTAAGGTAATCCTAAGGATTATAAGAGAAGAATACACAATCTCTAGACACTTACTAAATCTAGGGTTATTAGGGATTTTATTAATGTCAAGTTTATTGTTTTTAAATTTTAACATTACAAGTTTATAAGTATAGTATAGGAATTCAAATGTTATTTAAAAAATAAATAAATTTTTTTTAGTTTATATTGAATATACATCTTTGCTAGTCCATGCATCTTTGTATACATCTTTGCTAGTCCATGCATCATGATGTTAACAAAATAATTAAAATTTATATCTTATTCAGCGTTTTTTTATTCAATCATCCTTTTCCGTCTCGTAACTATATTCTTTTTCCAATACTCATAATTTTTATTAGCCTGAATGTACATTTTCAGGAATATATGTTAGGAATATTATGTTACTAAACCAAATTTGTATTGCTTTTAATAACATAAGATATTTTTTTGTAATGCCTGTTCCTAAACGTTAAAATTTAAGATTATGTTGGTCATGAAAAATTCTCTACTGTCGTCTGGAAAACATAAAAAAGTCAGGAAATTTCAAAATTAATTTTCTGTAGCAACCCTGTAATTTGTGTGTGTGTGTGAGTGTGAGTGTGTGTACATATGCGCGCTACATTGTACACTTGAAGAGAATTTTATAATACAACGTACAATTCTTTTCAATGTGATTTTCAGAAATAATAACAGCGGAGAAGTGCGAGTTTACCCTGGCAAACTGCAAGTCTCAGAGTCCTTCTGTACAGTACCTGTCTTTGAGAAAACAACCGTTGCAGATTTAATAAGCGAAGCTCTGGAAAAGTTTGGTTTACAAAATTTTAATTGTGATGATTATAGATGCAGCGAGATTCTATTAGATCGTGGTGGTAGGTTTCTAGTTCGTTTAACTTGACATTTGCGCAATAATTCACGCGCGAATATTCTCGAATATTCTTGGAAATTTTACCTTATATGTTGCATGTGAGATTAAATTTGATCTTGATATTTTTTTCAGTAACGGAGAGAGTTCTATCTTGGGACGAAAAACCCTGGGATATTGTCAAGCAGTTGGGAAAGGATTCTATTAGACAAATGGAACTAATGCGGTTCTACTTACAATTGAAACAAGATCCCCATGGACCTAATCTGGCTTTATTCGTGGGCAACTTACCACCAAATCTTTCTGAAAGAAGCTACGAGAACATGTTAATAGAATTTTTAGGAAAAGGTTAGTGATATATGTTAGAAAGCCTAAATATATACAGGATGTCCCAAACTCTCCTTATCACATTAAGTGGGAATGTAGAACGGGTTGAGGTGAACACAAAAGTCCCATATCGTTTTTCGATATTCGCGATAATAACCGAGAAATTAATTGTAAAAGATTAAGGAAAAACGCATGTTGAATGGTTGAGGCTTAATAGTGCACGGATGTCGGTGCGCGACGATTATAAAAACAGCGCACCATTGCCTATACTTATATCGTTGCACTCTTACATCTCGCCTCGGCGCGGTGCGGCAAGACGTAGGATCAGAGCGATGTAAGACGCGCGCTGACATCTGCCTACTATATTACTGAGTCGCAAGCGCTCCCCCTCAACCATTCAGCATGCGTTTTTTCTTAATCTTTTACAATTAATTTCTTGGTTATTATTACGAATATCGCAAAACGGTATAGGACTTTTATATTAATCTCAACCCATTCTACATAATGTGATAAGGAGAGTTTGGGACACCCTGTATATATCAGGATTGGGAAAATTTATAAAAGTGATGCGTTACCGTTATTCAAAAGTAATGACTAAAACTCATTACTATTTCTTCTGTTTTAACCCTTTAACGGCCGACTTTTTTATAGTAATTTGACATACTCAAAACATGCTGGATCTGAATATAGAGGTGTTCAATGTGGGGAAAACGAATTTTCAGATTTTTCCTGCCCTTTAAAACAACCCTTAGATGAAAAAACCATCCCTAATGCTTAAAAAATTGTAATTTTTGTTGTTTTTTATCGCTGTAAATGGAAGAATAAGTATTGAGAAATACTTATATTTATTTGAAATGAGAACCTTGTAAACAACCCCTAAAGTGAAAGTACCTGTAGAATTCAGAAAATTGTAATTTGACTAGCAATTATTTAATGCTCATTTATTTTACTTCATACACACTCTTGAAGTTGGCTAAGAAGCTAAACAAAAAAAATCATTCAATCCAGGCTGATATAGTATTAGTACGTGCGCACGTCAGATGAATATTGTTCAGTATACTTAAATAAGCTTCATACTTCCCAGTGATGTCTTCCAATATCCTCCGATATTGTTTTATATTTTTTTTATAATTAGAACCGACAGGAATGAAATTGCGAAAAAGATGTCGAAAGATACCTGATGAATGTGCAGAAATTCCATCTGATCCAGATGATACAGAAGGTGATCTTCTGTCAGATGAAGATGGATCAAACGATTCCTCTTCAAGTGATGAATCTGTTTCAGATTATGACGAAGTTAAATAACCTGAAGTTTATAGCAATGAAGGTTGGACGGAAACAGTTGATGGGTTGATTCTTTATGATGCGATTGAAAAGGATCCAGAAGTTTTAATAGATTTGGAGAACGATAAGTCTGAAATTAATTATTTCCTTTCAATTTTCAGCGAAGATTTATTGAATGAAATAATTTTACAAACTAATATCTACGCTGCTCAAAAAAAAACCCACAACCTGTAAGACGAAGAACCCCAACATTTGATGTAACATGGACTGATATCACTCTAAAAGAAATAAAAGCTTGGATTGGAATGCATATTCTAATGGCAATTCACAAGTTCCTCACATTAAAACTCTATTGGAGTTCGGATCCGGCTCTTAGAGTAGATTTCATTGCAAATAATATGACACGTAACCGTTTCAAGCAGATCACTGCAATGATGCATCTGAATAATAATGAAAATAATTTTTCAAAAAAGGATCCGAACTATGACAAGTTGTATAAAGTTAGGCCTGTCATTGAGAATCTGAATAAAGCCATTAAGGAGGTTCATAAGCCTTTGAATCTAGCTGCAGTGGATGAATCTATGTTCCTTTTCAAAGGACGCTCTTCACTGAAGCAATATAATGAAGCCTGTAAAAAGATGGTATAAAGTTTGGTGCCGAGCAGATTCGAAAACAGGTTTTGTTTTCAAATTTGAAGTATACACAGGCAAGTCAAATTCAAATATTTCTGGTAATGACACACTAGCAGAACGCGTAGTATTGAATTTGACTGAAGATTTGAAGCAATCTAACATTTTAGTTGCCTTTGATAACTATTTCACAACGGTGCGACTCATGTCTCGCCTACATAGTAATGGGATCTTTTCTGTTGGCACTGTAAGAATCGAAAAGGACTTCCATCTATGATGATGGAGAAAAAGAAAGTGCAGCGGGGTGATTTTGAATTCCTAAGTAAGGGTGTTGTTACAGCCATCAAATGGATGGATTTGAAACCTGTGACACTTTTCAGTGACAGCGCACAGTTCTGAAACAACAAAAGTTTTGAGGAAAAACAAAGATGGCACAAAACAGAATGTTTCTTGTCCTCTTGCAGTTGCATCTTACAACTCAATAATGGGAGGAGTTGACAAATTTGGTCAACTGAAGGAAAGATACACTATTGGGAGACGCTCTCGGAAGTGATGGTATAGAATCTTCTATTTTCTCATTGACCTAGCCATTGTTAACTCATACATCATGTACAAAGTCCACCATGATGCCGATTCCTGCCAGAAACAATTGGATTTCCGCATTCATTTAGCTAAACAGCTGTTAGAAAACTGTTCTTTTCGAAAGCGAATCGGAAGGCCAGTGAGCTTCTTAGTGAAAAAGAAAAAAGGTGTGCCAAATGTTCCAGATGACGTAAGAACCGTTAACGTTGGTAAACATATACTTACCACAATAGAGAGTCGGAGAAGATGTCGATTGTGTAGCACTAAGGATATACAAGTACTCACAAAGTTTCTTTGCAAGGCTTGCGACGTTCCTCTTTGCATTGATCCTTGTTTCAAAAGAATAAAAAATAATTTGGTATTACCAGAAAGATTATTAGAAGCGAAGGAACTCACGCTAAACAAGCACCCCATACGTGAGAGGCAAGGGGACTTACGCTAAACAAGCATTCCATACGTGAGAGGCATGGGGACTCACGCTAAACAAGCACTCCAACTTGTGAGAAGCAAGGAGACTAATATTCGGGAAGTACTCCGTTATTTTAGAAAGATTTTCATATTTACTTTCGGATTTTCAATCGCCACACTCATGATATTCGGTTTCATCCCTAAAAGTTCTCCAAAACTGGTTTTATTTCGAATGAACCTTCTTTCAAATAATTTTGATATCTTTCCAAAACAAAATATGTATATACTGGAAATAAATGTCCGTTTTCAGGAGCGTTACTTCAGTCAGGGGTAGATTTTGGTGTACCATCTCTGTTGGGGTGGTTTTTTTCTGGATTTTTTTTTGCATATACTTTCGATGTCACTCCAAAACACATAAATTGGAATAGAGTGGGAAAAAAAATTGTGTTAAAAAGTTATAGCTGTTCTTCATTTTTTCATAATTTCTGCAAATTTTAATAGGGTATATAGCTGGAGGGGTGCAACCCTTATACTCACCGAATTTTCTATATATAGATACATCCTTCTCCTTTCAAATGAGGACAGAACGAAGGCGATATGTTAATTTTTATGGAAATTATGATTTTTTTAAAGAAGGTGGTACGTATGTGTACCACTGGCCGTTAAAAGGTTAATGCCAAAATAAAATAATATAAACAAGACGTATACTTTAAAATTTTTTTATTACTATTTTATATATATACTTTTATTTTTATTATATTAGTAAAATAAATTTGGTTCCTTTGGATAATATTATGAAACGTTATAAGATATATACAGGGTGTCTCAGAACAATCTACGAAGCTCTCGTGAGAACGTAGAGCGGATTAAAATAAATATAAAAGTCCTATACCGTTTTACAATATTCATAATAATAACAGAAAAATTAATTACGAAATATTAAGGAAAAACTTGTACTGAATGGTAGAGGATAGACTGCTTGAGTCACAGCGCAACCCAGTAATATAGCGCGCGGATGTCGCGCGTGGCGATTAGAAGACAACGCACCACTGCCTTATACCGCTGCGCTCCTACGTCTTACCGCACCGAAGCAAGATATTTACGAATGATATTTGACTTGTACGTATAATTACGATAGAAGACGTGCATCATAATCTATCGTCAAGTGGTTACGCCAAGAATGGGTGTTTTTCTATCATCTTACAAAAAACGTAACACGCTTTGGCTAAATACATTCGTCAACAAAATTATCGTATAGGTAAATTCATATAAAAATTTAGCACAATTTTAAATGGGCATAATACTGCAAAACATTATGGTATTTAATTTTTTTTTTTAAAGAGTGAAGTCTGTACTTTTTTTTAAGGAGCATTAGTCAGATTTTGAATTTATTCTCTTCTAACAGTAACAGAATAGAAATGCATAGGTAACTTTCATATGTCATCTAACATCGACGGAAAAAAGTCGTGCACCTCTCCTTTTTATTTTTTTATTTGCAAAGAAACATTGATATTTTACGATGGTTATCGTAAGATTTGTGAAAAGAATTCATTCCATTCAGTAGAGTCAAATTAAGTGATTTAAAAAAAATGCATAGGTAACGTTGATATGTCACAACTCCGCAAAAAAAAACCGAAAACAAATCAGTTTTCTTTTACATTTCAGGAGAAAGTCGATACTTTACGGTAGTTATCATGAAATTTACGAAAAAAGTTTATTCCACCGCGTAGGATACGTCAAATTGTGCAATTTTTTTTGGAGACGCAACACGTCTTTATTTTTGAAAAGACTACAGGAAGAGAAGAGAATAAATTCAAAATTCAACAAATGCTTCTTAAAGTACAGATTTCATTCTTTAAAAGAAAAGAAAAAAGATTTCAGATACGATAATGTTTCGCGGTATTTAAAATTGTGTTAAATTTCGACATGAACCTATATGATTACCTATATGATAATTTTGTTGACGAATGTACTTAGCCAAAGCGCGTTATGCTTTTTGTAAGAAGACGATAGAAAAACACCCATTCTTAGCGTATTATGATACACGCCTTCTATCGTAATTATAATTCAAATATCGTTCGTACACAATCGAGAACAATAGGTTTCTTTTATACGATAAAGAACTTTGAGTTTCTCTCATCGTTAATACACCATAAATTATGACAGATTTCCAATGATTTTTTCATGATAAATTCCAACAAAACGATAGGACACGACAAATCTCTAAGAATTCTATCATAGTAACGATTTAATACTCTCCTAACAGAGCACGATAGAAAACAATTTCATTTCTTGCGGATTCGTTACATGCAAAGTATACGATAGAGAACAGTTAGATTCTCTGCAAATCCTTTCAGTTTTTATAGCTTTCTTTCTATTTTTTTCTAATCACAGAAACACATTACAGTTTTAATGTGAGCTATCTTATAAAATAACCTAAATGTAATCGCGCGCTGTTACTTTTCTACAACGACGTCGAGAAAACGAAAGATAATTATCTTTGGGTTTGTAACACGATTTTGTGTTACACGCCGCTCGTTGTGTCACCTCTACATACATGTATGCAGCCGAAGCGGCGACACGCTTCGATTCGGCATACGGATGTTATGCACATGTGTCAGTGTATCACGCCTCGCTATGTCTCGTAGCTACGGGCAGCAGAGGGACGCAATTCGCGAGTGTCACGGTCGCACGTCGGCCAGAGGCATCCTTTTTTCCGCTGCTGGTTTGTTGAGACAAAATAATTAATTTCTCAAAAACTATTGCGAATATCGCAAAACGGCACAGGACTTTCTTGCTCACCTCAATCCATTCTATATTCTCACCAAGGGTCATCATGGAAGTTCTGGACACCTTGTATATTGCTTTCTAATAATGTTTTTTAATTTTAATAATGCGTTTTATGAATTTTTAACAGAAATTGTTTTGTAATGTTATCATATGTGATTTTTTTGACGTTAATGCAAAATTTCCGACATTAAACAATCATTCAACAAATGCATTGGTGCATTGTTCGAAAGAACAATGTTATACTTAATGGTTTTATTTTTAAATAATCATTTAACATTTTAACATTAAAATTTTTCGATTTTAAAAACTGTTGCAACTCTTCTTGGGCAGATTTATTTTGTATTTATTTACTGGTGAAAAGAAAGAAATCATCGTTATCATCAAAATGTATATTAATATTTGAAGAATTTTCGCTTTATTGAATCCTAGTAAATTTTCTAAACAGTTTTCGCATATTTTTGCTTCTCTTTAGTTAACCAATCTAATTTAAATTTAAGTGTAGACAATTATTTCTATTCGAAAATGCATAGTGAAAAATCTAAAATTAAATTTTAATAAAATTAAATACATGTTACATATATTAAATTTTCCCAATCAAATAACTTATGAAAATTAGACAATGTGAATAACTGGTCAATCAAAGCCAAATGTATGTATAGTTAAGATTAATGAATAACAATTTTTAAGTTTGTACAATTTGTGATAATTTGCTCCCTATTTCTCAGAGAAATGTATTATAAAGTAACAGTAAAAATAACTGTTATTTTCAATATTTTACCGAAAAAAATGTAACGACGTCCCCAAGTAGGAATCATATACATTTCTCCAGTACGAAAAAATGGCCCGATACTGGGTCGAAAAGCGGATGTCCGATTTTGGTACTGGCTCAATACTGGGCCTAATATATAAAAGCTGTATTATTGATATTGGCTCCGTACTAAGGTTAGGTACTGTATAATCGTACCATACGTGTATTGGGGCGTTACCGAAAATTGTTTGTCGTTTTCGATACTGGCTCAGTATTAAAAAAAACTATTATTGATACTGGCTTTGTTCATAGAATCAGTATTGGATACCCAAGTAAGAATCGTATATAATCTGTCAATAGAGAATATTGGGCCAGTATTGTGTCGGTACCGAAAAACGTAACGACCAATGTTCTTTATGAGAAAACGGAAGAGGTCACTAACGTAAAACCTAGATAGCTCAGTGGTAAGAACGCTTGTCTGACAAGCAGAAGATTCGAGTTCAATTCCAATCGTCGCCTCGAAGATTTTTCCCTCATATGACTATTAAAAATAGACATGTATAGGTACAAACGTGAGCAGCCTGGCCATGGTGTGATCTTTCTTTTCGTACAGTTGTGATATTAACAATTGTACAAATAATAAAAATTACTAGGAATCGATACTGGCCCAGTACTGGGAATAGGTACTTTCCCAGTGCTAGGAATCAATACTTTCTTTACTGGTACAGATTTTCGGTACTGTGACAGTACTGTTTTCCGATACTGGCCCTTTTCTATCATCCCAATATCACACCAATACTAAACCCGTATAGGCATCTGGTACTATGCCAGTAACGTTTACCATAAATCAGTACTGGGCCACTTTGATGCCAGTAATAAATTCCTTCTTGGGTTATTACTTTTGTTACGAATAAAGAAAAGTAACTAAATTGTTATCGAAAAAAAGCATTTGTAACGGTAACAATATTATTTATATATACATCGCATCTGCAAAACTAGAAATAGATGTTTATACGTTGAATTTTTTCGATTGTTTAGAAAATAGATTCTCGTCAATTGGCCCAATTTATTACGAATATGGTTCGATGGTTATCATATACGAAGATTCTAATAAGGCGGTTAGAGCCTTATATACATTACGGGAATCGAAATACGAAGACAAACATCTCCTAGGTATCTATAATTTATATTCCAATCTACTTTTTATAGTTGGTGTGAGACTATCGATTAATATGTATTATATGTATTTTCTTTTCTTCCGCTAGTAATGCTTTTACCGAGTATCGAGCCGAGTATGGTACCACCGGGCGTTCAACCGTTACTCGTATTTGTGAATGTAAAATCTGGCGGTTGTCAAGGACTTCAGCTAATTTCTAGTTTTCGTAAACTGTTAAATCCTTATCAAGTATTCGATCTTGACAACGGTGGACCTTTACCTGGGTAAGGTTTTACCTTAAAACATTTTAAACATAACGAATTGTACATATTTTAAGACACGATATAAATTGTGCGAAAACGAATTAGAGGTAAAAATATACGTTCCTATGTCTTACAGACTTTACGTTTTTCGCCACATAAAGGATTACAAGATACTGGTCTGCGGCGGGGATGGAACAATAGGTTGGGTGTTACAATGTTTAGATAATGTGGGTCAAGATAGCGAGTGTTCTTCTCCCGCATGCGCTATCGTGCCTCTGGGAACAGGAAACGATCTCGCTCGTGTGTTATGTTGGGGTTCCGGTTACACAGGAGACGAGGACCCGCTGAATTTACTACGAGACGTTATCGACGCGGAAGAAATAATATTGGACAGATGGACTGTGGTTTTTCACCCGCAAGAACAAGATGTAGGCAGTAACCCTCAAGCAGTCGCTAATGCAACTGGTGAGTGATATGATTCTAACATAATTTTATTATCAAGATGTAGGATAATATTCATAGTTCAGTTTTACATTTAAATTCATCTTCAGATGCTATATAGCTAATAAAATGGCTCTTACAATATCTGAGAATGGAATTAAAACAATTTTAAGACTCTTTGTATCTCGCCGCGGCCATGTTGGATTTGTGATACGAAACGAGAAATGACACGCTGACAAAAATTACGCGTGTCATTTCTAAATAAAGATAAATGTGCGAAAGAGTACTTAAGATCGCGTGAATACACCTTTATAATTTTCTGAAAACTATCCCTTTCCCCTGACGATCAGTAAATAGTCGTATAATAAATAGTAAAATGAAGCATGCAGACAACATATAATCATTTCATCATTTCACGTGTTCCATTTCACCATTTATTATACGACTATTATTCATCAAGGAACAGGACATCAAGGAAAAGAAATACCTTTTGGACAATTTTACAAGTATGCTCAAGCAATCTCAAATCCTCTTTCATCTATATTTGTCTTTATTCAGAAATGGCACAATTTTCGTCAGCATCTCATTCCTCGTTTCTGACGTCACAAATCCGACATGGACGGCGAGGTACAAGGAGTCTTAAGTACACGATCGGACTATAAACATTGTCTGTCGATAGATACGGCCGTTTTTTTTAGATAAAAAACTTTATTAAGGTTTAGTTCTAGTTTTACTCTTGCGAAACCCTGGATTGACGACGATCAGAAGCGAGAAAATATATTCTAAAAATTCTTGCGTACCACGTTTATTTTAAAACTATTTATTGACTGTCAAAAAAAGGATAGTTTTCCCAGCATTTAACAAGTACGCAATCTCTCTGAAGTGTTCTTTCATACAGATGTCTTTGTATATTGAAAATAATAAGAATTTTTGGCGTGTGTTTTTCCCCTTTTGACATCATTAATCTAGGATCCCGCAGCAGTGGTACCAGAAATCTTGAAAAAATTATATGCCATTTATATGTTACAGGTGCAGGGTCAAGTAGCGAAGATAACACGCAAATTTATGTAATGAATAATTATTTTGGCATTGGCGTCGATGCAGATTTATGTTTGGACTTTCATAATGCGAGAGAAGAAAACCCTAACAAATTCAAAAGCAGATTACGGAATAAAGGCGTGTACGTGACGATGGGTTTACGTAAAATGGTCAAGCGCAAGCCGTGCAAGGATTTACACAAAGAAATTCGGTTAGAAGTAGACGGCAAATTGGTTGAATTACCACAGGTAGAAGGAATAATTATTCTGAATATTTTAAGGTAATTACTAGAATACACTTGTGCGTCATAGAAGAAGAAGTATATCTTATGTGTTTTTTTCAACGAGATTCTCTTTCGTTTTCTTACAACTTAGTTGGGGTTCTGGTGCTAATCCCTGGGGACCAGATACCAAAGAAGATCAATTTTATACGCCAAATCACTGGGATGGTATGCTAGAAGTTGTCGGAGTCACGGGCGTTATGCATCTTGGACAGATACAGTCGGGTTTACGCACGGCTATGAGGATAGCACAAGTAAGAATTTCACTAAGCCCGAACACCCACCGAAAACAATATCCGAGGTGACCGTATATGAGTACATTTTTTTACTCTTGGCGAATTTCGTTCGACAGGGCGGACACATAAAAATTCACCTGAACTCGGATATACCTGTGCAAGTGGACGGTGAACCGTGGGTGCAGAGTTCGGGAGATATCGTGGTCTTGAAGTCCGCACTCAAGGTAATATCCCGCCGTAGAATCTCACCGAAAACCCCATAATTCCACAAAAATAACGGACAGAATGTAACATAGATAGTTTGCGATATATCAATATCAGTATATGTTTTGATAATCCCTATATTGTGTGGAGTATATATATATATATACACATCAAGGAAAAGTGATTGCACCCTTTCTCTCACTGTTCGGGTTTACGTAGAATGATGGGGCATAACGTTTTTTGTGGCACGTAAACTTTTGACAGGAGCATCCGTATGTATTAGTTTGTAGTACTTTTTTCGTTTCACATTACATCAATGCTCTACGTATTCTCCGTAAGAAAGCGTAACCTGATTGCTGATACCCATCAGCGCATGCTTTCCCTTCCCCTGATTGCATTTCGACTAATATTTTCCTTATTCCTTTGTTCACTTCAAGCTACCATGTTGAAAAAAAGTAAGATCAAGCGTCGCAATACCGAACCGTCGATTCTACCTGCTAATGGGGAGGGGGACAAGAGCACGGACGAGTAATCCAACCATACCACAGCTTACAACCGCTCGCTCGATCGTTTTTAGTCTCTCTCTCTCGTTGAAGATGCGCGCGCGCGCGAGATCTCAGCCTAGGTTCCTCGATGCGCGCTCGAACGGCGTCATACGCACGCGCGTGCAAAGCAGGAGCCTCGGTGTGATGAACGTGTGCCGTATCTGAGCGATACATCCATAAAAAGAGAAAGAAAAAAATAGAAAACGAGATAAAAAGAGAAAAATCCGGTCCCTCCTCGTTGGTGCATGTAAAACCGATCGACTTCCGTAATTATACCTTGTCGATGCCTCGATCCAACGCAGCTAGCTCGAGCTTGTCGTAATGTGTGGATTAGACGCATTCTATTACCGGATAGTAGTGTTTAGCTTTTACGAGAGTAACGTTTCTTCCTCTTCTCTACTTCTTCTTCTTTCCCTTCTTTTTCTGTGTATGATTCGTTGATCTTGAGTTGATCGTAATTTCTATTTCTACTTTCTACTTTCTATTTTGTCAGTGACATTGACTGACATTTTTTATCGACTACTCCTTTGTGCGTTCCCTGATCCTGTCCCTTCCTAGGCTACGATGCTGAAGAAGACTAAGGGTAAAATGAAGCGGCGAAATACAGAGTCCAGCATGCAGTTGGCGCTACAGGCTGCACCACCGAACGAACCGGACGCGGAAATCTTCTGAGTGAATGAACAAACGTTATGTGAAAGTGGATGAGAATACGTTGCCGTGATCGCGAGCACGTAGCCACGCAAGACAGAGGACTCGATCGATTTGGCACTGCAGTAATGAAACAAAATCGGCCTTGATGAAATCGTCTGACGGCGGTTGCGATGCACGAACTTAAACATAAGGCAGGCACATACAACGCAAGAGAAAAAGGGAAGGAACAACCACTCGTCGAGAGGAAGCAGAGAGAGGGACAGGTAGATAAGGTTTTCAAATCACACGGACACACATAATATACACAGTATAAAAAAAATCCCCGATTGATGATTCTTAATGTTTGTTCTTACATTAATAGAAAGGCAAAATAGATCTCATTTTTAAATGTTAATAATTATAGCACTGTACGTAGCTCTCTTATCGATCAATATTTTTTTAGTAAAATTATAATAGATCTTTACATACGATACACACGTGACCATATGCGCACACACGCACATTCGTTTGCACAGCGGTTTGAGTATTTTCTTTTTTTTTTTGCGACTCATTTCCGAGATGCATCCAACGAGAGATCCTATCATATGAGAAAAACTCAAACGCAAATTTTCTCATTTGGATGTCAACTATATTCCGAAGTACATCGAAGAGAAAATGTCCGAACTGTTTTACAAACGAGTATACATACATAAACATGCAATACATTAAGCAGTATTGAAGGAAGCTACGAACTTAAAGTCTATTCGGACAAACTTGCATAATTGCATATGCACGAGGAAATCAAACAATCATGATTTGTCCAACAGAAAGATGTGTTTTACATTAGATTTAATTAGATTAGTCAATTTCATTGTATATATGCATTACGCGACTGCGGGATGTTTCTAAAATCTGTTCGTACTTTCTATATTTTTGGAATGATTAAAAATATAGAGAAACGCCGAAACATTTTTTATTTTGAAGGGTAACCTTTTTATCAAAAAATTTTTTCTTCAGTCTCCCAAGGCAGGCTAGACGTTGGGGGAACCCAAAAATTTCAAATGGCAAAAAAAACTTAGTCATACCTCATTGAAAAAGTTTTATTAATAAGAAAATTTTGTTGCAAATTCGAAGTTACTGCATTATTCCTATTCGAATTAAAGAATCAAATTTAAAAAAATAATCCTTTTATTTTTTACTTTTATTTTTTACTTAGACTAAGAAGGTCATAGAGAATCGCGCGAGATGGCGCAAAATAATGTTTGTCTAAGAATGTTCTACTAATCTCCCTAGACAGTACAATGCCCAAAATCGGGTCATAAAATGTCTTTAAGATATTTTTAAGACAAGTTTATAAGATATTGTCTTAAATATGTCTTAAAGGCGTCCTAAAGATGTCTTATGACTCGATTTTGGACATTTGTGCTGTCTGGGTCTATTTTATTTTCAGGTTTAATATCTCCTGAAGCAATTCCTCTAGTTCTCTTTAAAAAAAAATCTAAGTTCCTCTTACTTTTTCAAGGAGGACAAAGAGCTCAGAGTCGTTCAGTAGTTTTCTTCTATAATGCGAAAATTGTCAGATAATAATTGATTCTAGAAATTCAAAACTCTGGGTTCCCTATTTTGGTTTCGCTTAGCTCAGATTCTCAGCAAACACAATAATATAATTGTTACATTGTCGTAATGTAACGAAATATAACATGTAATGTAACGTATACGTTATGTGTACATGTTAGTTGTAATTTCTCATTTAAGCGACTATGATAATATAACAGAAATATAACGCGTAAGTAACGTGTTAACAGTTTTTATTTGTTTAATGGATCATATTTTACAAGAAACAGGTGCCATTTAAATGACATCTGCATATAAACATATTATATAACATAAACATATAATGCGAACGCTATACTTGTTATAAAACGAAATTAATTAATCCCAATATTAATAATGTATACTAGCATTATGTTATGTGTTATATAATAATTACAGTCTGTGTTTGCTGAATTTTTTTGAAATTTCTCTATCAATTATATCCAAGATTTTGACTATGGATCTAATCGTTATCTGACAACGTTCACCATCTAGAAAAAACAGGTAGATGTCTCTAAGCTGTTTGTTTTCTCTGAAAAAATAGAGGACCCAGATATCGAATTTTTTTTTAAAAGACTAGGAACTCCTTCAGAAAGAATTAAGCTTGAAAACAAAAGTAGGATTTAGAATCTTCTTAGAGTTTGAATAAAAAAATAGAGGTACATAAGTCATTTTTTTAACTCTTTAAGGCGCATAATTCATGAAACATTCTAGTAACTTTTTTTTAGTAAAATATTATCAAAAACACTCTAAATAGCACATTTATAAGGTTTCAACTGCCCGATTCTAAGTGGTCTCTATTGGTACCAGTGATACTTAAAGGGTTAAATTAACCTCCAATAATTTTTTAATAGGGGGAATATAGCGACTCCAAACTTGCTAAAATTGTTCCGTCAGCAAAACGTTTTTAATAAAGTATAGTTAATCATTTGAAACTTTCGAATTTTCCTTACCTACGTTCACCTTGAGAGACTGAAAAAAAAACTTTTTTAATTTTGGTACTTTCCCCACCGTATCTTAATATTTCCCGAGGATATTTACGGCTGTTTTACACTATTCTTTTTATTTCTTTAATTTAGAATAAATAATATTCCTCTATTCCCTTTCTTTTTATTCTTCTTGTATATCTGTATTCCTATTTTTTCAAATATCGTTATATAATCTCCAGTTATATCCATTTAATCTACGTCATACGTGAGCTCGCTACAAGTTTCCAGAAGGAACTCCTCCGAAAAAAAATTTTTTCAGTAAAAAAGGTTAATCACTTAAAATAAAGAAACATGTGTTTCTCCATGTTTTCAGTCATTCCCAAAATATAGAGAGTGCGAGTAGATTTTGAATAAAAGTTTGACCAAAACAGATAGATTAGACAGATATATACAAGTTCGTCCGAATAGGTTTTTATGCGTGCTCACACGATGACGTTAATTTATACATATTTACGTTCCAAGCTTGATAGTTGATGATGAGAAAAAGAAGTCGTGATGTATATTTACGTTTCGTAGATATTTTGCAGATCTACACAGAGTTATTACGATACGAAACGTGAAACTCCGGACGAATATAAAAAAGGAAACGCAAGCAAAGATCAGTTGTTAATAACATATTATAGAGTATTTATGATTAAATATTAATATATATTTACATAACATTGTATTAGTACTACGACTTTAAGTTGTGACAATTGTTGTGTATGTCTGGCTGCTGGGCAGTCTGGAATTCGTTAAGAACCAGTGGCAGTCAGAGTTTCCTAGGATACGATTAATAAGGGGGCAAATTAATATATCTTTTTCGTAAGACGATAAGATCTCACACATCGCGAATTAACGAGTGCTTTGCCGGTCCGTCTCTACGATGAGAGAGAAAAAGAAAAGAAAGGGAAAGATAGACAGAGAGACATACATACACACACAGACAGACAGACAGACAGACAGACAGACAGACAGATAGATGTATAGATAGTGTTGCGTTCACGTCCGTGTCCGGATTCATGATCGTAACTTCCGCAGCACTCCCATCAGAGTCGGATTGGCAATGTGACTGACCTCGGAGCTCCGACAGTCTCCCACGACGACGAAGTTTGGCAGTGCCATCGGCAACATACATTCCACTATTAACATGACAAAGAATCGTGAAAGCACAGAAATATATACACTTACCAAAAGAGGACAAAGAAGCGTAACGTGCTAACGTGCTACGTACTTAAAAAAAAAAAAGAAAGAGAAGAACTAAGATCGTCGGGATGTGTCGAACGACATACGGGAGAGGACAGGACCATGCGAATCGGAGACAGTATACCGCTTGCGAGCTTCCACATCTTTGAATGATTACATACACAGACACACATATACATATATATATATATATAATACTCGATGTATTCTAGTAGTGTGTGTATGTATATATACACACATATACACTACCAGAATACATTGAATGTCACATCCATCCTCGAAGCACGCGACGGGAATAAATACTTAAGCTCCGATGTCGCTTTTACATATGCTGGGGATATGTTCATATTGGACTTTTCTTCGCGCGATCGGAAAGGAAAGAAAAGAAAAGAAAAAGGAATAAAATAGCGACAACTTTCGTGCCAAACAATTGTACATAATATTATAAAAGTGTAGGGACTCATAAGACGGTTTGCCAGTTAAATCGCGACGGCATTTAATGCGACAACGTCGACGGACGGAGAGCGAGAGCGAGAGAAAGAGAGAGAGAGAGGGAGAGAGTGAGCGATGTATGATGCAACGCGTGTGAAGGGGGTACTTTCTACTTCACGGGAAAGGACCCTTTTTGAATTACGTACACGTTACGTTATTTCGTGTGAACGTTAACAAAGGATATAAAATGGCGAAAAAAGGAGAAGACAGCGCGTACCTTTGATATACCGTGAGAGTAAATCAAAGGAAGAAACGATAGGACTCTTAGTATGCTTTTAGTACGCGCTGTGAACTTAGTTAATTATCTAACTAGACCTCTCTTGGATGTCTTCAATTATGAGAATAATTATCGAAAATTAATCATTGAGAAGCCGGAAAATCTAAAACGGAGGCGGTCATGCCCGGATGATTGATCAGGCCTCCGTGTATCACAACCTGCCAATGATGCATGGGCTCAGTCGTTCATGTTATTATATCCGGTGTGTCAATACATGAGTGACGCATCAACGGCAGATTGGAGAGCGAACATTTGTTAATCTGACCAATCTATAGTATATTTGCTGTTGCTATAAAGAATAGAAAAACAATAAGCTATGAACAATCTACGTATAATAAATCAATGTATGTGCTACAAAGACAACTATTTGTTTATTTGGATTCTTACGACCTATCTAAATCTCCTTTGCATTATTGTAACGTTCACGATCGACTGGATTCATTGACGTTTCTTATATTTATATACATACACACACACACACATATATATATATATATAGGGTGTCTCACACTCTCCTCCGGACATTTTGTGAGGACGTAGAATGGGTTGATGTGAACATAAAAGTCCTATCTCGGCGCGGTGCGGCAAGACGTAGAGGCGCAGCGGTATAAATATAGGTAGTGAGTGCATTCTTCTAATCACCGCGACATCCGCGTGCTATATTACTGGGCCGCGCTATGACTCGAGCGGTTCGTCCTCTACCATTCAACGTACGTTTTTCCTTAATCTTTTTTAATTAATATTTCGACTATTATTGCGAATTTCGTAAAACAGTATAGAACTTTTATGTTCACATCAACCCATTCTACGTCCCCACAAAATGCCCGGAGGAGAGTATGAGACACCCTGTATATATATACAGGGTATCTCACACTCTCCTCCGGGCATTTTGTGAGGACGTAGAATGGATTGATGTGAACATAAGAGTTCTATACCGTTTTGCGATATTCGCAAGAAGTATCGAGATATTAATTGCAGAAAATTTGTGAATGATCATGCAGGATATGGTAAATGAGTTGTAATAGCGACGACTGCCGTCGTGTACTTATACTTTAGGTCAAATTGAACAAAAAAGTCCTCTACTATTTTGCAAATAATCACATGGATTTTTAATTATTAATTAAAGAAGATGAGTGCATTATCACGCAAAATCGTGCAATAATCTTCTTTAATGCGATTGCTCGAGGGCCTATCTTACAGACTAGAAAGGTGGGCCGTTTGGAATACGGAAATGGGTAGCTCTGTGTGTGTGTACGTGTGCGCTCGTCCATTTTCTTTGCCGGCCGCGGCGAGCCGTATGTCCCGCCTACCGTGTCGCTGCGCTCTGATATGCCCAACTATTTTAATTACTATCTCGAAATTTTACGTAGTTGTTTGAAAAATTACCTATACAATTTTTATTCACTTTTATATATTCTACTTATATTTTTCTTTTCGTACGTCTTACGCGGGACACCCTGTATAACCAACATTTGTGCATGCATACACATTGTGCCTCCCTATATTGGCGATCCATTTGTTATCAATATGAGCTGTACATGAGTTCAATCATGGCGCCCAATATTGTCTTTTCATTATAATTTTTTGTTTATCCAATACTGGCTGCACATTGGCGCAACCATGGCATGCAATATTGGCAATATATTTTTAGTCAATTTTGGCTATATATTGGAATACATTGGCCAATATCATTCCAATATATAACCAATATTGGTGCAAACATGGCTCATATTGGCGATCCATTTGTTGCCAATATGGGCGATGTATTGGATATACATTAACCAATGTAACCCCAATATATACCAATATTACCAATGTAAAACCAATTTAATGCCAATGAAGTGTACTATTAGAGTACCTTCAAAACTTCAAGTGGATTCGGGAACGTCCCACATGCGCACATTGACAAACGGACACAGCCAACCACAACGCCATATGTCTAGAGATATTCTAGAGACTATAAACGACATATGATTGGATGTGTCAATGTGCGCATCTGGGACTCACTCGTGGATTCGACCATTCGTTCTCGAGTTATCGTGGTGATCAGTTTGAAAAATACTGTTTTGAGAAAAACACAATTAAACGTACATATTTAAAGTTTCACGTACATATTTTTAGTATATAATTTGAAATTTATGGTACTTACAGCTAATCAGTTATTCCGTACAGAATACTTTCTTCTTCTTCATAAAATTCATTCAGAGCGGCCTGAGTTTTTCTGTTGGCTATGCGAGCCTCCTTCGTCACCTTGTGATGTTTACGCTCAGCGATCCGCAATCGCTTATCGTCTCGCTTGTTGGCAAATTGCTTGGCTATTGGGCCAATGACGACTCCCATCGTCTGAAAAACTTTCAGGACTGCGTAATAGCCTTCATTGAAAATGCCGACGACCAGATAATTGGTAATTTCAATTATTTTTAAGCCGCAATGTAGATATTTTGTAGCAAAGTGCCATAACAAGCCGTTGTAGTTTTCGTTATCATTCTGCGTGTTGCCGCCTAAACCCCGTTCCAATAAATCATCTTTAGATAAATCTTCATAAACCGGCTTAATCACTTTCTGAACAGTTTCGATGAGCGGCGGATCGTGAGTGAAATTCTTCACTGTTCTCGCGGCCTCCGCTCGACGCCATGCACACCAACTCTCCTCTCCGGCTGGGCAATACGTATGCTGCGTTTTTTTATCATTTGAGCATTTGTGATAATAAGTAGCCCAAATAGCTTTCCGCATATCTTCTACTGAATCCACGTGTCTTGTAATTGCTAATCCAAAGCAAAACTTTGCAAATCTTTTATTAATTTATCTGTTAATTTACCAGGGCCCTTTCCTCCAATATGTTTGTTTTTCTTTTTCTCACTTCTCAATCGTGTGCCCATCCTTTTTTTAACATGTAGAACACACTCTAATTTCTTCATTTCGACGTCATATGAATTCAAATCGAGAATATCTTTGAAAGTTTTACTATTGCCATCTCTAATGTAGTGCGTATATTTCACGCCGTACTGTGCAATCGATCGTTGAAACATCTCCTTCACAGAGCCAACCTCTATCTTTCCGGCTGATTCATCGTGATTAACAGTACATGATTCTTTATGGCTTTCTTTCCACCTTTCAAATTCCTCCTCATTCTCCGTTTTTTACCCATACTTCACACATTTTGCAATAGCTCGATTTCACAACTGAATCAATTATTTTACGTGAATATTTTCCTGCGAGCGCCGTAATACCGTACAATAAAGAATATTCCCGTTTTTTCCACGTACCATCTCCAGACAGTTGATTTTACATCTGAATCTTCTTTTTCCAAAGTTTCCTATTTTTCTCATCAATGGCGAGTTTGACAAGCATTTTGTAGATGGCTTGCCCCAGATAGCACGATGAATTCTTTAAGTTCCTAAAGTTTTCTCCTTTTCTGAATTGTACTTTCTTAGGAATTCGTGGAAAAATATTATAAGAATGATTTAGGAAGTTACATGCACCATGATTGGGAGTTCCTCAGAACTTCTCAGAGTATTCATATAAAATTACTTCAAATCATAAAAATTCCTTCGGATTTAATAAATTTTATTACATCCACACGAAAGATCAGAAACTTTGGCCGAGGATGCTTGTATGTATCTGTAGATGTCCAACTTTTAATGCCATATGAGATGAAAAAAGACTCGCCTGGGATCGAACTCGGGATCTTCTGCTTGTCAGACAACCGCTCTTTCCACTGAGCTATTTAAGACTTCATGTTTGTAACGTCTATATACCCAGTGAAAAATAATTCGTTCATTGATCAAATTATCAATCAAAATATCAAATTCGGTTTGTCGATTTCAACATCGATTTGATGTCATTTTGACGTCAATCAACGAATCATTTTTCGCTGAGTATATACTGTTATATGTGAGCTTCAAATGTAAGTAAAGCGCACTTTCAAACATATAATTTTAAATCCAAGAATAAATGACTTTCAAATAATGCAATTTAGTTTGTTACTATATTTGGATTTTAGAAATATTAATATAAACTTAGGGATAAAATATACTTCGCATAAGTCTATTTATTATACAAGTGAACATTTTATATATGAAAAGCTATTTTAACACCATTTTATTTTTAACATCAATTTCTTTTCTTTATCCTATTATATAAAACTATATAATTAATTCCATAAAATATAAATAACTGTAAATAATAATAAATTAAACAATTTATAAATCAAATGAATAAAATGTAAATATATAAATCAATTATTATACAGTCACTGGCATGTACTGAATATTGGCACAAAAAGTAGTTGCTGTAAACAAAATATTTGTAAAGACTAAGGCAAAGAATGAGACGTAAGCTTCATAGTGATAGACCTAAAATAAGTAAGAGAAAAACGTAAACGTAAATCATGAAAGGCTATTAGCCTTACGTTTATATTTTTTTCTGTCTTACTTTATGTCTACGATTACATCTCGTTCTTTGCCTTAGCCCTAATTCCTCACGAATTCTCAAAGTGTTCTAGGAACTAAGTCGCAAAGTATTCGCTATAATAACCCAGGCAGCAACGTGACATGATTTTTACGTCAGTTTTTGGTCATTTGTGACGTCAATTATCCTTTTATAATCACGTAATAATGATGTGAAAATGATCGGAATAAGTCACATCTCACCGACGTCAATAATAAAACGTGAAAATGACATCATAAAGAAATGTAAAAATAACGTGTCGGAATATCCTTATTCGATTCTATTTTCTAATAGAAAATACTTGTAAATATCACAACGTTTGCTGATTTTACTTGCAAATTTTAATTACTTGATTCCAATGTTACATAACATTTAAAAAATTCTCACTGGCACTGGGACTCCCCTTATAAGAAATATCATACTAAGAATCATTGATAATTACTTATTATCCAGTATTTTTAATACTAAAAATAAGTAATTATCAATGATTCTTAGTATGATATTTCTATAAGGGTAAAGCACTTATTGCCGAAAAAACAGAGAAAAAATGTAAAATGTGATAAGGGTCATAAAATGTAAAATGATATAAGTTTAGATATATTTAGGATATGTATTGAAGAAGAATAGAGGACAGAAAGCGCAGGTGAGGGATAAGAGAAGGAGGGCAGCGGTGGTGATGAGGGAGATTTAGGGAATAGGGAAGAGAGTATGGGGGAGGGATTGGAAAAAAAAGTTATGACTGTTCGATAGATTAGTGTGGACAGTGATGGGGTATGGAGCGGAGATTTGGGGTTGGAAGGAGAGAGAGAAGTTAGAAAAAATTCAAGAAAGGTTTGTGAAGTGGACAATGGGAGTGGAGAGAAAAACACTGGGGTATATGATGAGGGAGGAGGTGGAAAAGGAGAAGATGAGAGGAAGGGCAGGGAAGAGGACTTGGAATTTTGAGAGGAGACTGGAGGAGGGAGGAAGAGGGGTAATGACAAAGAGATGTTGGGAGAAAATGAGGGAGTGGTGGAAAAAAAGCATGATAGCATATTATCGACAGTGATTTCTCTATTGCCCAAGCATAATAATTTTTCAGCTGATATACTAGTAAAACTAGTTTCATCCTCGGGTATAACGATTCCCAGTGAATATTCTTTTGCATTGTCTATCTGCCGGATCTGATTATCTCTGCTACCTTTCCTATTCATACTGATGTGTCTAAATTTACATGTAATCTATTCGAAAGCTGAAAACGTACTAAACGCTGCAATATATCTTTAGCTCATATATCTCTTTTAAATGAAATATACTAAATGTATAGTTTCGTACCAAGTATTACGTTACTCTGATATACTAAGATATAAAATAGCGCCAGACTAAATTTTAAGAACGATAGATTCAGCCGAGAGCGGCTCCTTCTGACCGACCGCCAAGCATACTCATCATATTTGTGCGCGGCGCGGCCGCGAGACCTATATCTTTATATATATATGTATATCCTTTATTAATCCTCAGTATGGGATTACAAAGTCAATGGTTACAATTCTTCGCTAATCACATACACACGCCTCCGCACCCTACCTCTTACATATCCTGCATCTCCTCTTCTCCTCCCCCTGCCAATACATATTCCCCCTCATCGTATTCCCCATTCTAAATCTGATCACTCTTCTCCACCTTTCTTCTGCCCACTCTTTTTCCAAGTATTACGTTATCCCTTCTCCTTTCACAAACTGATATCATTTATTGCTCTTTGACTTCCTAATCTTTTCCTAATCTCTCTCTTTTGCATTTTTCTCTCTCTCCTCCAACTCCTCATATCCCTTCTCCTCCTCTTCTACTACTCTTCATCCTCTCTCTTCCATAAACAATTTCCTTTCTTTCTCTCAGCCCCCCACTATCATGCTTTTTTTCCACCTCTCCCTCATTTTCTCCCAACATCTCTTTGTCATTACCCCTCTTCCTCCCTCCTCCAGTCTCCTCTCAAAATTCCAAGTCCTCTTCCCTGCCCTTCCTCTCATCTTCTCCTTTTCCACCTCCTCCCTCATCATATACCCCAGTGTTTTTCTCTCCACTCCCATTGTCCACTTCACAAACCTTTCTTGAATTTTTTCTAACTTCTCTCTCTCCTTCCAACCCCAAATCTCCGCTCCATACCCCATCACTGTCCACACTAATCTATCGAACAGTCATAATTTTTTTTCCAATCCCTCCCCCATACTCTCTTCCCTATTCCCTAAATCTCTCTCATCACCACCGCTGCCCTCCTTCTCTTATCCCTCACCTGCGCTTTCTGTCCTCTATTCTTCTTCAATACATATCCTAAATATATCTAAACTCCTTCATCTCCTCCAATTTCTTTCTTTTCCACCTCCAGTCATACCTCTTCTCTCTCTCCCCCCCTTTTCCTGAACCTCATAATCTTCGACTTGCTCACATTCAGTTCCAACCCTTTGCTGTCCAAGTATCCCTCCAACTTTCCTATAATCGCCCTAATATGTCTTTCTTCCTCTGTCATCAGCACTATATTATCCGTATACGCCAGTGTCTAATATTTCTCTTCTTCTATCCCCACTCCTCTCCAGCCACTCTTTCATTGGGCGCATTCAGTAGAAAAAGCGCTCAGTGAGCAATCAACGATTATTGGTTCTTGCTATTAGATCCCTAAATCTAGACCAATTACATTTACAAATTACTCAACTGTTGTGCAACTGTTGAGTCTGCTGAATGCAGCCATTATTCCCTCTAGATCTGCTGGCGAAATATTAAATAACACCGGATTCAACAGACACCCGTGCCTCAATCCCCTACTCGTCCAATATCTCCTACATTCTTTCCCACCCTACATTCTCTTCTACCCTACATTCTCTCCTACCCTCACCCTACTTCTCGTCTCTATCATCAATTCCTCCATCCTTACCACTAAGTCCTCTCTCACTCCCCTCTCTCTCATCGCCTCTATCTACCTTCCCCTCTCTACCGAGTCAAAAACTGCCTTCAAATCAACAAAAAATGCTACTATTTTTCCTCCTTCCCTCCCCAACTGTGTATTTATTAAATAATTTAGCGTACATATCTAATCCACCGTCCCCATTCCCTTCCTAAATCCCGCTTGACTCTCTGATAGCAGCTCCCTCTCTTCCACTTCTTCCCTTAACCTTTCCATTAAAACTGCCATATATATCTTATACAATGATCTTATCAATATCACCTCTCTATAATCCTCTACCCTCTCTTCATTCCTTTTCTTCCTTATCGGTATTACCACTCTATCCTTCTACTTTTCCGGCCTTCCCTCTCCTCTCTATACCCTTCTACACATCCTCCATGCCCATTTTTCTACCTCTTCCCCTCTATATTTCTATACTTCGTTCGGTACCTCATCTAACTCTATAGCTTTCCCACCTTTCAACTTCTTCATAACCTCCTTTATCTCCTTCCATCCTATTTCTTCCTTCTCCCCCTCTTCTATCTCTTCCTCTCATCACCTTCTCCTCTACTCCCCTATCACCGTCATAAAATATTCCTTCCATTCTTCCTTTTCAATTCTCTCATTTACTTCAGCCTTCCTCGCTCTGTCTCTCTCTTCACCAACTATCAAACCCTTTACTCTGTTCTCGTTTCCATTACCTCCCTTTCCATTCTCTCTCTTTCCTCTTTCTTCTTCCTCTTATAAAGCTTCTTATACTCTCTCTTCCTCTCCCTATATCCCATCTTGCCTTTTCGTCCGCCCCCTTCCACCTCCTCAACTCCCTTCTTATCTCCTTCTTCTCCTTCATTCCTCATACCACCATCCTCTCTTCCCTCTCATCCCTTTACCTCTCTCGTCCTGCCCTTCACATACCTTTAAAATTCTAGCCCTGACTCTGCTCGAACATCGGAAAGCAGTACTGAGTTGTCTTGAGCCATGAAGATACTAGATGGTTGTGCCTATTACATTTTTCGACCCTAGTGAAACTGTATTTGTGGTACTGTATCGATTGAATACGTCATCGTTGATATGCCTTGTCAATATTAAGATTATTTAATAGAAAGTTACTATATAGTACGCGTA